CGTTGATAGAAACCCTCTAAAGACATTAACAACTCAATCAACAAACTAAATCTTAAAATAAAACAAAAATGTTACAGCCACCAATTACAGACAAAATCGTATACATGTGTAAGAGGCAAAACTGGATGAATTGGCCATTATAGAACCAATTGGATGAATTGGCCATTATAGAACCAATTTAACCCCCCCCCACAAGAAGTAAACAACTCACAAAACTAAATTTTGATTGCTTGATATGCTAATAGATGGAAGTCAGGAATGAATTTCATTAATGGGGGTTTGAACCATACAGTGTGCATTAAGAGTGAACAGAGGATGACTGAATTTCAACTATGTGAAGTTAGATGTGCTTACAATGCACATTGTAGAATATAAATTTTCCCAAGAATCAACATCAGAAATAACATAATAATGAATTTTCCAGTGCTCAGTATTGAGTTACACAAAATTAAGGGAACCACAGCAATCAGAGCGTAGAAAATCATGACTACTCGAATATTTCGTTGAAGTGAGGCTTTTTATTTTATGAATCTACCGTAGGTCCTTACACAAAAACCAACATTCATGAGTCTCTTTCAAACAAACAATAATCACAAGCTCATGTAAGTTCGTTCAAAATCAATGTTATTTGGATAATCTATGTCAAGTTCAATTTCACTCGAAGAGAATTAACTTCTTTTTACTGGTTTCTAGCATAAGCAAAAGCATTGAAGATAAAGAAAATAAAAGCTCTCAAAAGAAAAGAAAAGAAAATAAAGAATCACCTTTCCATTTTCTTCCTGGATCAACAGCAAGGGCATTAAGGACCACTGAAAGGGTAGCCAATCCACAATATGCGGGCTCTGATTGTGTCTGGAAATAAGATATAAGCTTGAAGAACCCTTCAATGGTTCCATTATGAAGGGCCTCAGTGAAAATTAGCTACAAAATTCAAAATACCCAAGAGCAAACTATCACCACTTAACCCTAAAATTGACCCAAAAAACTCATTAATCAGCAAATTTCAAAATCATGATCGCTGTATTATCAATGAAGAAACCAAAAAAATAAAAAAATCAGGAGATTAATGCTCAGGACCCATTTTAACCTTAAAAAATAATGAGACAACCAGTTAGTTTCAAACAAAAAAAAAAAATTGGAATCCCTGACAAAGTGTATAAATTGAGAGTGGAAAATAGCTTACCTTTCCTTCAGGAGAAGAGAAATCAACAGCTGGAGGTGAAGGAAGCGTACGCCTGTAAAGCCCTGCAACAGCCATTAGGCCTCTCTTTTTTGAGGTTTTCCTCTCTCCACTCACTATTTTTTAGTTTATTGCGTATTATATACTGAACCTCTGATACGGTGTACGTCCAAAGTATCGAATGGCCGAATACGGGGTTTTTCCCGTGAGTATTTAATATATAAAATTTATCGCACCGTCGGACCGGTGCGAGAACCCAAAAATTACAAAAACTAAATAAATAAATAAAAAGATTTGAACATTTTCACGCCCAAATACGAGTAAATTGACCCTCCCACACCCAAATACGAGTAAATTGACCCTCCCACACTTGTGTGTGTAGGATCCGAAGATCACCATTAAATTTGACATAGATATTTATAGAAGTTAAAGTTATCAAATAGATGTAAGACTTTACTTTTTAAAATATCTGCATCAATTTTAATGGTGATCCTTTGAGTCCTACATATATAAGTGTGGGGGGTCTAATAATATCATTATTCCCTAAATAATATCGATAAATTTTTTTAGGGCTAGATTTCTATGTTTCTCTTACTAAATAAAACTTATTAGTTGAATTACGTGCGTTGTATATACAAATAAAATAATCAATCACGACTTTCTCATATAGATGCCACTTCTATTTTGAGAACTTGCTTTGTCTAGTAATAAAGCCAATAATTTGGAATATGCACCATTATATCCTCGAATATTCTTTTTTAGTTGTCTTGTAAATATGATGATTGTGTAAATAATTCATAAAGTTCATTGGAAGTATCTAGGTGATTTAACTCCACTCCACCTCCTCCTCCTCCATAACAGATAGCAAGGGGTTCATATGAAAAACTCGACTACATAACAATGTCGACAAATATTAGGAAGCTTGAGATATAACCCATTGTCATTGTTAATATTACATGAACAAATACTGGGAGGCTTGAGGTAAATCCCATTATCATTGTCAATATTATATGAGGTATCTTTAGAAGCTTATGGATATATTCCATTATCTATGTTCCTATACAAAGTATCTCTTCTCTCTTAGTGGTAAGAGATATTGTGGGATATTATCATTGAAGATTTGGTTGGATGGTGAAAATATAGCAATTGTCAATGGTATATTTGAAATGAAAGCAAGATAACGGATTTCAAAGGCTTTTTTTATCCCGATAAACATTTGTGTAGAACGACAATAATTTGGAGTTTGTACCATTGTCATTGTCAATATTACATGACATATCTTCAGAACTTGATGAATATATTCCATTATCTATATCCCCATGCAAAGTGTCTCCTCTCCGAGTGGTAAGGGATATTGTCATTGAAGAATTGGTTTGATGGTGAAAGAATAGCAATTGTCAATGTTGTATCTGAAATGCAAACATGATAATGAATTTTAGAGGTTTTTTTCTCCAAAGAAACATTTGTGTAATATCATTGTCAATATTACATAAGGTATCCTGAAAAGTTGATGGATATATTCCATTATCTATATCCCCATACAAAGGGTCTCTTCTCTCTGAGTGGTAAGGGACATTGTCATTGAATAATTGGTTTGACGATAACGGAATAATATTTGTCAATCACATATCTAAAATGAAAGCAAGATAATGAAGTTTAGATGGTTTTTTTTAAAAAGAAATTATACGATAAAAATTTGGGTAGAATGACAATGATTTGGACTTCGTAAATACTGTTATGATCAGTTTTTTTTTTATTGACCAGCAAAGTTTGGAAGTATATTCTGTTGCTCTTGATTGATCAATATTTTTGGTGAAGAATCGTCCTATGAAATAATTGTTTATGAATTTTGAGACTGTTCGAATTGCATATGTTGATATCTCGTTTGCATCACTCTCAGATATGCATTTGAACATTAAATTCCTATTATTTCCTATCACTATAAAATTGAACATATGTTGAATGTGCGCGTCAACTACGACAATTATTATCACAGATAAATATTGCACTACATAACAATGAATATATATTATTTGATTTCACGGAAATACAACATGCATGATGACAAAAAAAGGGGAAAAAAGGAAAAAACATGGTATGTATGCATGCATGCATTGATTTCGATAATATATTGCACTATATAAACTTAGTGCTTAATGGTTTATCAACAGTTTTATCGAATATTGTGGCAAACAATGAGAAAATATAAAAACTATATTTTATTAGTATTATTACTGCCTCATACCTTTATTCATGTGATCAAGAAGCTAGGGAGCTAGGGTTATGGAGAGAATACGTTAGGCTCCTTGATTTCCTGTAATTGAGAAGATAGAATTGTATAATTTGAAAAAATATACAAATATTTCATAAAATCTTTATGAGTTCTCTTGTCAAATTCTAAAGTCCAAAAGAATTTCAACTAATCATGTGTCAAAAATAAGGGAACGTATTGTATTTGGTTGCTTATTGTATTTTCTTTTGGGCAAATTATTCGTTGAATAAATTCAGTTGCTTGTTTTTCAAATAATTTAACGGAAGAACTCTCTCTCTCTATCTATCCATCTAATGTCTTTCTATATTGAAAATCCAAAATCAGGTAAAAACATGACAAAACTATCTAATAAAAATACAAAATTTAACGAAACTGAACCAATATAATAAAATCATAGGGCATGACGGGGAACCATTACCTCAAATAACAAACTCCATCTCTTCACCAATATAAACCCAATAAAACTTACGAGAAATAAACAATATAAACCAAAGTACGTATAAATGGAAAATATAGATTACTAAGATAAGAAAAAAGGTAAAGTTTTGATGTCTATAACTAAAAATATGTATCTAAATATTGGTAGATGCTGGTTGTCACCCATGAAACTCACACAGGTTTTTAAGGGAGATGATGAGAAAGTACACATCTATTTGAATTTGGTATAAGGCAGATAAAGATATACAGTTCAATTAAAGAGGAAATATAATTAGTACGTCTCTCTAATCTATATTTCTCTTTGCCTACATCATGAGCACGGAATTTCTCTCTATTTCTCAATACACATGAAGAATATAAAGTTGTGGGTTTTAAAAGGCTAAACATTGGTAAATAGCTTCCGATAAGTTACCATATTAGGGAGAAAAAAAAAAAAGAAAAAAAAGAGAGAAGATATACATGGCGAGGAAATTGATAGAGAGTGAATCAAAGAGATAAGTTTCCATCTGGTAAATATAGATTACTAACATAGCAAAAAAAGAAATATGGGACCAATGGGATCATTGATAAGAGTATCAAAGAGATAAGTTTATATATTGAGAGAAAATAAAGGGAAGAGACAGATTGAGAGAAAGTGAAGTAACGTGAGATTGAGGCTTTTTCTCTCTCTCTTCCCCTATATGTCTTTTTATCTCTCTCTTCACTTAGAATTAGAAATGTGTTTTTAAAGAGATTTCTCTCTTTTAAAGTGAGGAGAGAAAAAGAGAGGTATAAGGAAAGAGAGAGAAAAAAATGAAGAGAGATATAAAGAAGAGAGTACCACGTGCTAAGATAGAGCACATTCCTAATTCTTAGGTTAGCGACAGGCTTCTTAAACCAAAAGAGGAGCTTATCATCCATTTTTCCCTGCGATTTCCACCCAATAATGAATGAATGAGAAAGAGAGAGAGGACATGTATGTAGGAGCTTTAGAGCGAGAGACACGCCTATGAGCTAGAAAATCCAAAAAATTTCTAATATCTTTATTAGAATACTTGATATATATTTATTAGGAAAAAAATTCCTCCTAAAATACATGCATAGATATCCATGCACCACTCTCACATATCTCTCATACTATCTCTCAATTTTAGGATCTCTCTTTCATATTATCCTTCCTATCTTAAATGTAGGGGATATGACTTCAATTTTAGGGCAAAGTGCAGATACCCCCCAAATTTGATCTAGGCAACTTCCTCTTTTTTCTTTTTTTTTTTTTCTTTTTTTATACCCCAAATCATATTTTCTAACAAATACACCTCCAAGTCAAAAAAAAAAAAAAAAAAGATAAAAATTTACCAAAATGCCCTTCTTTAAGATAAAAGGCCTCTCTCTTTTTCAGTCGTGGTCTCGGTCCGGCAACAAGATAGCGGTCCGGTACTAGCTGCACGCGGTCCGACGCATCCAACATTCGGTCCGGCAATTGTTTCTCTGTATAGGCTATTGGTCCAGTAAAAGGAAATGCGGTCCGGCACTGGGTACCCTCGGCCCCGACAAATTTTTTATGGGGTCCGACAGTTGTTCTACACAATCCTGCACGTGATGACTTCGGTTTGGCTCATCTTTACCTCGATCCTACACATCTTTACGTCGGTCCGACAATTGTTTACAACAGTCCGGCAGTCAACGTTTGGTTGCGCATTTTATGAGGATGTGATGCGAGCTTGTACGGACAAAGACATTTTGGTCTAAATAAATATAACATTTTGACTTGAAAAATATTTGCTAAAAAAATATTTTTTGAGGTAAAAGTTGAGAAAATAAAATTTGTTGGAGTGAGGTTGCATGGAAAGTACAAGATTGGGGTACATGCAATGTTCCCTTAATTTTATCTTTCTCAAGATTTTACAAGCTTTTTTTAAGGTGAATAAGATTTTTTAAGGTTTAATTTTTTTTAAAAAAACGCCCTCTCTCCCCCCTTCCCTCAGTACCCAGCTCTTTCCATCTCTATTATCTCTTCAGTCTCTCGCTAATAGATTTCGGAGTCTCTCTATCTCCTCCTGCATAATAATTTTAGGACTTATTATACAATTTCTACATTAAGCCACTCATGGCTCATCACTATCTATAATTGGTTACAATTGTTTGATAATGTTTATTTTTATTTTTATTTTTCCAAATCAAGTTACCCTTAAACTTTGCAAGTATGTACGACATAGTGAGATGCATAAAAATAAAATATATAAAAAATAATAAAAATACCAAATTACCTCTATGAATATTTAAAGGACATTTCTATATTTTATTTTTTAAATATTTTATTTAGGTACTAATTGGTTGAATTCATAATATAATCCAAATTTTAAGTAAAAAAATAGAGTATTTTTGTCCAAAAAAGACATCTTCTGTACTTGGTTGCTAAAGGAGTGTGGTACAAAAAATGTGGGGTGCAGTTTACATGTGGATGCATATGTAGGTGTAGAGGTAATGTGCACCTTCAAATTTTATCATGGTATATAATTTTGATGTAAAATGTTCTTATGATTATCTCATAATCTATTTTGATATTTTATTATAAAATTTTAAATTTTAAAAATGGTTAAAATCAAGTAGATCTATAAACATATGAAAATCTTGAAAATAGACGGTGTAGATAATATGTTGTAAAATGCACTATTTATGAGACTTAAAATTTTTTTATTTTCCATAGCCATACATCTCAATGTCGAGATGATTAATCAAAAGGTTTTTCAATATTAAAACTACATTTTTTGATGGATTTTGAGGGGCATCCATAGTTCAGTTCTACATTATAAAGTAGCATCCTTATCTGAACTTTTTCCAAAAATGTGTGTTAAAAGATGCCTATAAAATATAAATTAGGGGTATGTATAATTTTCTTTTTAAAAAGGTATTTTTATTAAAAATTGAAACATGACATGGGAGATCCATCGGTTTTGGGGAAATAAATGTAGTCGACGGGAGGCGTTATGTGGGCTCTTCTATTTTAATAAATGATTTGGTATGGGATAGTTCTAAAATTTTATGAATTAGTAATTTAAAAAGTTAAAAAAATAATAAAAAAACATTTCAATTAAAGTTTATGTGGTGAAGATTTAAGATCACTACACAAAATATTAGAAAAATTTAAAAATAAAAAATTAAAAATTAAAAAAAAAGTGCTTTAGGGGAACTAGATCAGGACCCATATAATTCCAGAACGGATCGATCCCGACTGATGGCATCTGGATCGACAACTCAAATCTGAAATCACTGCTGTCATACTATCACGAAATTTTGGTCGAATATTTGTTGTACGGCCAAAATTCACTGAAATTTCCAAACATTTCTCGTCGGATGTCTTTTTCGGTATGTCAGACGAAGATACGGAGAATAATAACGAAAAAATAACATCGCAGCAAAATTGGGGTAGTAAACTTTCCAGGAAATAAAATTATTACGTGGAAATTTAGTGTACGGATTGATCAGATTTTTAACGACGGCGGCGGCGGCGGCGGCGGCTTTGGCTTCTGCCACGTAGGCACAATATGCTCCCACGAGGAAACGGTAGCTGTCAACATGTGCTAAAACGTAGTTCAAATTATTTTCTACTTTACACGTGGGAGAGTTTGGTTGGATGATGGATGGAACTTGCTCGATGTATAAGCGCATGCTTATTTTGCATGGAAATCGAAAAAAGCACTTTCCAAAGGAACTGTTAATAACAAACCCTGACAACATAATTACCAAAATACCTCGATTCTGCAAAATTACAAAAGTGCCCGTCGCATTTCCTTGTAAATCACTCGAAATGGGGATGGTACCCTTACTCAAGGGTGTACCCTCGTAATTATGTAGAAATAAAATAATCCTCACCTCGAAAGTTCAATTTTAGGATTGGTTTGGTGTCCCTATAATAGCTCGAAGATCTATTTTCATTTTTAGCTATAAAATTTTAATTTTTTTTAAAATAGTATTGATCAAGCCGATCTTCCAACAATTGAACATCTTGAAAATAAATAATCTAAATAGCTTCTTATAAGATGCACTGTTTTTATGTCTTAAAATTCTTTTTTTTCCTTCAAATCTGTACACCTTGAGGTCGAATTGGTCCATTAGTGAATTCTCTATTGTCGAATACTCTATTCTAGAGGATTTTTTAAGTGCACATTGTTTTAATAATATAAGGTTGCAACCTTGTATGAATGTTTTCCATACCTAATGTGTGAGGAGAAAATGATGCTAAGACAGAGGAAACCTTATTGGTGGCTTAAAACTCTATTTTTTTTTATAATCATGAAATGTAAAAATCTAAAACGAATACAGATCAAGTACATTTATAAACACTTGAAAATAAATGGTCTAGATAACTTGTTACAGTATGAATTATTTTTAAAACTTGAATTCATTTTTCTCAATAGCCATATATCTCGAGGTTGAGATGATCAATTGGAGGGTTTTTCAATGTCAAAACCATCTCCTCTAGAGAATTTTCGAGGTGCAATTTCAATAGTATGAGATTGATACCTTATATAAACCTTTCCATATTTAGTTTATGTAAGATGCGTTTTATATAAGACGCCAATCTTACATGTTAATATTGAAAAGTATATAAGTTTAATTATATTAGAATGCCAGGCGAGTATACTGTGATCCATATGAGTTGGGGTGGCAGTGGACCCAATCTCATGTCTGGGTAGCGGTTCAATTTTTTGACTTAAAAGGTCGCATATGGGGTCCAAAATCTGGACTGAATACTATTTAGATCGGGGTCCGAGTCTAACCGTGCTCGATCCACATAATATGGGTATACGTGGGTATTCATAAATGTTGCTAATACGTCTGTTTCTTAAGAATTTTCAGTTGTTACGTAAAACATTAAAGAATGTGGGTATGTTGGAATATTCGTAAATATTGTGCAATACCGTAAATTTTGTAAATAATACAGGTATATAAAGGTAAAAAACAACGCAAAAAGAAAGACAAAGAATCTCATAGTTGTACGGGGCAATGGACCTGACCAAACTCATAACCCGATGGGTAGACCCAACATCAGGACTGAAAATAAGTCCAAAATTTAGACTTGAAAGGTCAAGTATAGGTCCGGCAAGACCTGACCCATTGCCACCTTACATATGAACATAGCAAATGAATAATGATCATAGGTATAACCACTATCCACTCGATGTATAAATAGTGATAGAGAGAGAGAGTGGGACCCAATAGAGCTCAGCATGACCCGAGAGGCAGGTCCATACTCCCCATCACCATCTATCTTTGGACTGGACGAATATGGTCATACTTTGCTATGACCTATAATTCTATTTCATCTCTACATTATTCTTTAGTGCGTATGCTACTCTATCTGGGGAGCGTACTGTACATGCACGCCCTTGGGCAAAAGACTAACTTGGGACTTTTTTTTGGGTGCGGTTTGTATAGAGCCGAGGAAACAATCAAAGTAAAGCTTACTTTCAAATAGTGTTGAGAAATGTGGTTTCAATACTATAAATATTTGTGATGCCTTAAAATATATTTTCAGATTTAATTATAAAATTTAAAGTTTAAAAAATAGTGTAGATCTAGCATATCTATGAAAATTTGAAAATCTTGAAAATTGACGGTCAAAAAATTCTTTACAAGATGCATTATTTCCAAAACTTGAAATCCATGTTTTTTTCATGTCCATACATGTTTATTGATGTCAAGATGATCAATTTGAGGATACTACCTTTCCCAGTTAAAATGTTGAACTGGGCTCTAATTTGATTGTTTAGAGCCTCGGCTCTATATAATTTTTTTCTTTTTTTGTTTAATCTAAAATTTTGGGAATGACGACACGGTTTCTATGCAACCAGCCTGCATATTGTAGAAATGTGGGCTTGGCAATAAATATTTTTTTACTATAATTTAATCCTAATTTTCAGAGAATATATAATCTTTAACATGGAGATTATGCATATGAATTTTTTTTTTAAATTAGAAATAATAATCATATTAAGAAAACATTTGGACCGTTAGTTACAATTGTTTTTAGATGGACCATCTATTTGCCTCCATCTTTAAGATAGATGTTTTATACCTCTGGATCACATAATGTAGAAATGCGGTCCAGCCCGCATAAAACAATTTTCCTAAAATATCGAGTTGATTATATTCAAAATAAAAAAAATGAATTTTTTATTTTCTACCACTCAAATCTTACCTTTTAAGAATTGGATAGTTTTTATTCAATCTTAAAGCATTATTTTTTCAAACCCATATATACTATGATTTGAAAATAAAAATAAAAATTTATTGAGTAGAGCATATCGGCTGAGAAGGTTAAGTCGCCAAAATTTATGGTTCTAAATATCCCCTAGATTGTGTTTTGGCTGAGGAAGTAAATGTACAGGATGCTCCCTCGGAGCATGAAATATTTTGGCTTCTTTTGGATCCTTACAAACGGATGCTTAACCTGCCTTTGTTGGGGGCGAGATTGCGATGAAAGGTAAACGTTGGAGAGGCCAGTTACCCAACGAACGAGGGACCATTTTGTACTTATGATAAAAACGAGGGCTTTTCTGTCACTTTCAGGAGGAAAAGTTACAAGGCGATATCGGATATTTTACTGAACCGGGAGGGGAAAATGGTAATTTTCCGGCAAATCACAGGCCCTGTATAAAACCCTTTCAACTCCATGGAAAAGAGCCTCAAACCTGTAAAATCTCTGCAACTTCTCTCTCTCCACCGTATCTCTCTTAACCATTTGAATTTGTAAACCCAAAATTCCCATGACAAAGAGCTTAAAAAACCAGAAAAACTTTGCAACTTCTCTCTCTCTTTTGTGCCTTAATCCCAATATTTGAGCTTATGTAAGTTGCGAGTAAAGTTCATGGAACCTCTACTAGTTTTATTCTGTCTTTCTTACCTCCTAACCCTCATTTCTGCAACTCCGGATACGATGCCAAAACTTCCCTTCATGGAAGAAGAAGCTTTATACAATGTCCTTGAAGCTATCAACCCATCTCTCGAATGGCGCACGATGTACCCCTCTGACCTCTGCAACTCTGGCCCGCATGGGGTTCTCTGCGATTTATTCAACGTTAATGGTGAAAATGATCTCCATGTCACAGAGCTCAGCTTCGGTTTCGTCTCAGAGTACAATCCAAACGCACCATGCAACAACCTTTCCACCGTCAGCCCTTCCATGGCTTCTTTACCCTTTATCCGAAAGCTTTTCTTCTACAATTGCTTCAACAATGGCGCAATTTCCTTTCCTGATTACATATGGGAGATGCAGAGGTTAGAAGAACTCATTTTCACGGAGAATTTTGCCATAATTGGCGAACTTTCTGAGAAGGTAAGGAATCTCAAATCTCTGAGAAGAATGGTTCTCAGCGGAACTAGGGTTTCTGGCCAAATACCTAAAGGAATTGGGGAGCTGGTAAAGCTCGAACAGTTGGTAATTTCCAGAAGCAGGTTTAATGGCGAAATCCCAAAAAATCTAGGGTTTCTGAGAAACCTAAGGGTTCTGGACCTAAGCTTCAACTCCTTAGAAGGCCCTTTCCCTGAAGAATTAGGGTTCTTGCCAGAGCTTCTAAAACTGGACATGGGTTCAAACAAGCTCAGTGGGTCTCTACCAAAAACTCTACCAAATTTGCAGAAGCTCAAATTCATGGATTTCAGCCACAACTTTTTAGGGTTTGGGGTGCCTCCATTTTTAGGGGAAATGCCAAATTTGGAGGAGATTTATTTAAGTGGAAACCCTTTGGGTGGTGAAATACCTGAAATATTTGCTAAACTCGGAGGAATTCTAGGGTTGGGTCTCTGTAATGCAGGGCTAATGGGGAAAATACCTGCTTCTTTGGGGATATTTTTGAGGAGGGTGAATTATCTAGGGTTTGAAGGGAATTTTTTGGAGGGAGAGATTCCAAAAGAGTTAGGGTTTTTAGAGAGAGTGAATGAGATGAATTTGGGTAATAACAGGTTGAGTGGAAGGGTTCTCTTCTCTGCTAAATTCATGGCTAGAATTGGAGAAAAGCTAAATTTGGAGGGGAATGAGGGGCTCTGCTTGGAGAGGAATGGAGGTGGTGGAGGGTATTTTGGGTATTTGAGGGGGTGTTAGTGGTTTTCAGGGTTTGGTGGTTTTGGTACTGGTTAGAAAGAGAAATATGGGATTTGGTTTTATCCCCTTGGCCAAAATGGGTTTTGTACATAAAATACACGATTTTGTTATAAACTTTTTTGCTTTCCTTTTTGTGGCTTGGATACTTGTGTTCAGTTTTTGGTTTTTCCACTCCCCAGGTTTTAAGAATGTTGTTTAGAGATTGTAGAGTGAGAAAGAGAAATATTTATGTCTAATGTAAAAAATAAAGGGTTTAGTTTGATTGGGTGCACTTTAGATTTAGGTTTTGAAGAACTCAGATGGTTTCCTTTCAATCTTTTCATTTTTCAATCTTTTTGGGTTGTCCAGAACAGTTTTTTAAAATACATTTCCTCCTTGGATTGAATCCGGATCCATACATGTCAGTTTTATAACTCATTTAGTATTACCAAAATTTTTCCTACTCCCGTGGGAGTATACTATCCATCTACTCTCTCTGGCGAAACATACTAGGAATATTTATTAGATCCCAAATTTTGGGGATGTAAAAAAGAAAAAAAAAAAAAACTCTCATTCTCTATGTGCCTAAAGAATGGCTTCCCATGATTGTATTGGAACCATCCAATTTTTAGAAATATCTTTTTTAAAAAGAATGTTCTAAGTATTTAAGAATTCAAAATCTAAATTTTTTTCTTTAAAATAATTACCTATTATAATGAGATCGATACCAAAATTTCAATAATATTAAAAAAATCTCCCTAGTAAGTAAGTTGCCAAGCAAGTAAATGTATGGTGTATGCTCCCATGGGAGCATTAAATTTCAATATGTTTCTTGTCATGATGTAGCATAAAAACCGCGACTAAGTGCTATAGTTGTGGAAGTGTGGCTTCCATAAAACAAATATGCCTTCAATGTACAAGTCCATTTCTTAGATCAAGATCTAACAAAAATGATTTAGAGCCTATTTTTTGTTTTGTGTTTTGGGCAATTTAGATGGGAAAGCAAGCCCTACCTATTTTTTTCACATAGTTTAGAGTTACGATGGATTTGAAAGATGTGACGGGTTGATGTCAATGGGAATGGGAATAAAAACTACAACATGGTGATTAGAGTGAAGGGGTGCTATTACCTCGACCCTACAACATGGTGATTAGAGTGAAGGGGTGCTATTACCTCGACCCTACGCCCTTGCCCATCATCTCAACATGCCGCCTAAGCCTTCAATCCACCTTAATGGTCCAACTTCCACCATTTTGAGCAGTTTTTTAAAATACAATAATTGGGTGTTTACTAGGGCACATTCGATTCAGCTCAACGATTCATTATCCGAGTCGGATGCAAAGAGTGAAATAAGGGAAAAATTATGAGTTCCGATACTGTGAATTGGGTTAGTTCACTCTTGTTCTAAATAAACTGGGGTGATTCCTTAGTTTGGAATATCCGGAATGGATAAACCAACTTGGGCAGTTCGAACTTCTTGGACTGCAAATTTTGATCGTTTCCCACTCAATGAGGCCAAAAGGAATTTGAAGGGGTTTAGAATGTTCTGTGCTCCTCAAGCAATAAAAAAAGAGCAGTCGGAGACTATCTCATTACGTTGGATTTGATTATATCTAAAATCACCCTCATAAATAAATCTTCTATTATTGGAATTGATATTGATATTAATAAGCTTTCATGTCTATTGAGATTTACTAATTATATATATAAAAAATTCCTAATAGATTAAAGATTTATATTTGTTATATGATTCATAACTTTATATATATGGAACGAAAAAGAAAAGAATATAATTGTACCCTATTTGGGTCATTTTATGATAAGGTAGAACCCTTTTAGAAAGAGGCAAGGGCTTCTTGAACGGAGAAGGATAAACCTCCTCTACAGAGAGAAGTGAGCTTTTAGGGAGAAAAATGGTTTTCCCATGTCTCACGTGAATAGATAAATTTATTTTTTATAGAGAAGTGAGTCCCATAGATATTTTAGATAATATTCATTTTGTAGATAGAGAGTCGGTTTCTTATTGTGGCTTGATGCCTTTTTGTGAATGTGGCAAATGCAAGAAATCCAATGGACACTTTATAAATTGATCAGGTCGGGTTTGAGGCTTGATGTCTTTTTACAAGTGTGGAACGTGTGAGAAATCCAATCGACACTAGGCGGTGAAGACTCGAGGCAACTGATGCATGTAATTGTTCTTCAACTGATGCACCTAATTGTTCACGTCCAATAACTAAGAACCGTTGATGGTGGCAGCCACCTAGAACTCTACCAAAAGCAGTGTTTTTCCCATTCTCTATACGCCTTCTTCAATAGAGCACTCATCCGTTCAAAACTCTCGTAGTTCTGTTCTATGGTGGGCTTCTAGTTTAGGTATATATATAGCTTTGAAGCATCAAAGAGGCCTTCTATTTTCATATATCCCGATGACGAATTGTCGTTTTACATATACATCTTTTATAATATCGAAGGGAAAAAATATCGTACTAACGTACCCAAAAACAAAAAGAATTTTCGCTATAATTTTGCCTATTTCATTCTATCTTTTAGCCCCCTTTTCACCAAAACCATTTCTAACCGCTCTTCCCCAAGGACCACTCATGAGGAGCAATTGAAAATATTACCTAATTTATTGCAAACACAACAGTTTCATGCACCACCTAAGCATGCACACAACTTGCAGGGTCAGAGATGGAAACCTAGCACAAGCCAAGAACACAATATTAAAGAAAATCCTCTAGTGCTCCTTTTTGTTCAGGGATGTACAGTGTGCTCGCATGAGAGTACTCCTTGGGGACAATCCTCATAGCATCCTACTGTGGTCCTTATTGTATTTAATTGTGTCCATATTTCCAAAAAGAAGATGATCACGGACTTCATGAAAATCCAATCTTTCACTACATCCCAAGGCGGTCAGAATCACTTATAGATTTCACATTTTTTGGTGTGAGTTGGTCATAATCACTTATAGTCGGGTACATACAAAATCCGATTGCTTAGAATATACAAAAAGATTTAAAAAATTTTCTTTTAAAGTTTAGGCTTAGATACTACTCAATTGGGGGCATCCCCAAGTTTCAAAAATTATACTTTCTAAAAGAAAACAAAGAACTAAACAAAAAAAATTCTTAAAAAGGAATTTCACCATTAGTAAAAGAATGAAAGAATCACTACAACACCATCGGCGCATGTATAAACAGGACAGATTTACAAACCAATGAAAACCAGCATGAGATCAGCAACTTTTCTCACTCTTCTTTCTCTCTCATAACCTTACTTTCCAAAAATCCTCATAAACCAAACCCCAATCCTCTCTATCTCTCTCACACTTCCACCCATGCAACAACTTTATCTCTCCTCTTTCCATGAATTCTCTCTCTTTTCATTTTCTCTCTCCTGTTTCCCCACGCACTAACATTCTCTCACTAACAATAAAAAAATATTCTCTCATCTCCATCAAACCTGCATTCTCTCCTCTCTCAAGGAAAGAAAGGAGAGCAAAGAGAGAGTATAGTAAGATCAGTTCCATCAAACACTACCTTCAGTCTGGTTCCTCATCTTGTGTTCACTAAATTTCATATCCTGGTCGGAGAGAGAGGAGGCCTTGGACCTTGAGGACCTCGTCGAGCCCGAAGTTGAACCCTTTGGCCTTCTACGACGTTGCTTTGGTGCTCCGGAAGGGTCATTGCTCGGAGAGTCAGGGGCCGAGCGGGTGATTTGGGAGCGTTGGGCCTTTGGAGAATCTCGAGAGGGGGAGTCGAGGGCGACTCCCGCAGACTGGTGGCGGCGTGGGGGCCTTGGGAATTCAGATAAGGAGTCGAGGGATGGAGAGTTGACAGAGGAGCCGCCAGAGGACTTGTGGCGCCGAGCTGGACCCGGGCTGGTGGTGGGGTCTTGCACCGGGGAGTCGCGCTGGGCTGCAAGTTGCTGTTGAAGGTCTGTGTGGGGAGAGGTCAGGTTTTGGCTGTTAGAAGTGTGTGAGAGAGAGAGATTCTATTTCTTCCATGGGAGAGATTGAGAGAGCACAAATCCTTGTTCTTGTCTCATCAAACCCAAATCAAATTTCCTGAAACTATGCTAAAAAAAACTTAGAATTGCACACCTTGTGATGCCCTTCTGGTAGCAGTTGGCTCCTTTGCTTCTCCTAACGGACTGAGTGGTGCTGATGAGAAATCCGGAACAGTCCTGAACTCGTTCATCTGTCGTTGGAAAACATGCATTGTTTTATGGTGAGAAGAATAATATATAATGGAAATGGAAAATATGCATTGTAACTATTTGTACAAAAAAATCACCCTTTTTTTTGCTCACCTCGTTCATAGTCCGAGTCATTCCACATTTTACACATTATAGCTTAGAATGTTTGTGACCTATGTATATAAAAAGTAATGGTCTAATTGTGTGTTTGGACCTAAGTTTTAAGGACATGTAATATCTAATACGGAGATCATGAATATGAATAAATAAATAAATTTTGAAAATTAAAAATAATAATTCTATAAGAAAATATTTAGACCGTTAATTTCAATTATTTTTAGATGTAACATCCGTTTGCATCCATTTTTAAAGTGGATGCTTTATACATCGAATATGTAGAAATACGGTCCCCACCGCATAAAACAATTTTCCATATCTAGGAGACTATTGTGAATGAAAGGTGAAAGTTCATACCCAGCTTGGTGGGTTTACAGAAGGGCCATCCCAACCTATGTGTGCTACATGCCTTACATCGGTAGGATAACCAATTTCCAGTTCATGTTCCTTGTATACATTGTTGACATCTGAAAAATCAAAAGAAATGAAACAAATTAGAAAAATAAATAAATAATCAACATACCAGTCAATATTATCATTCTTGGAAATTCGTTAAGTTATTGCACACTATAAAATCCATTTACCTTCGGTATAAAAAACTTAGATATTAACAGGTGTATTATTTCTATGTACGAAGTTTTTAATACTTTAAGCCAGATCAATGACATACCTCCACCTGCCCCGGTCATATACTTCACAATTAATGAAAAAGCAATACAAAGAGACCTGAGAGTTCTATAATATATGTAAATACTAAAAAATAATGGCTACTATTTCATGATTTATTGAGAAAGATTTATTGCCAGCCATTCTGATATCCAGGATTCAATATCTTCCTGATTCCTTGAAAAACCAAAATGAAGAATGCTCATTCGTCATATTGTCATGTTAATACAATTAATTTAGTGACTTTTTTGTTATTCAATATGTGAAATTTTCAATTAATCATAGATGGGAGGAGAAATATTTACCAAATATTTGGGAGATATATCTGAGGCCTTTCAGAAGTCCCTTCATTTTCGTCGTCATTTCCGATTGCAGTGAAAGGACCGGCCGGATTGCCTCCACTAGAATGGTATGTCCTCTGCATTATGTAACTTAATTAATACGATGATTTTGGATAATTAAGAGGATTAAACCAAACTTCATGCAAACAGAAAATGAATCAATGGAGGATAAATGCTTGGTTGTGGTCTCTTGGCTCTATGATTTGGTTTAATTGCCTCAGCACTAATCTCCATATTCAACCACCCCAACAATTGAAGGACAAATAGATTAGAAAATCAGTGCAATTGAGGCAATACTAAATGATGATTTAGCCAAAATCACAAAAGAATTTAAGTTTTAACAAGAAAACAAGAACTGCTATGATCATTGTGAAAGCATTTGGAATTTCAATGGTAATGAACAGCACTACTGGGAAAAAGAAAAAGTGTTTGTGACATGAATTCAACCCCTGAAAAATTACAAATAAAAAAATTTGAAGTTATTGGAAATGCGAGAACGTGGTTTTTTCTCGTGAATCCGGCATTCGATAATTAGAATCCACGATAAAAATGATATATGAATATACATTAATATTTTCATGGAAAATCCTTCTTATTTATTGTTCTATGTACTAATTATGGTTTTGTTTAATTGAAGGTACCTTCAGAACAGAATTGGCTCCCTCGGAAAACCTCAGACTGAAGAGTGCCTGAATCATGTGATGAACTGCAATTGCTGGCCTATAATCCGGTCGAACAGGCATAATTTCATCTCGATAAACCCTTTCTTCTCTCCCAAAAAGAGACAATTAATTGAACAAAACTCCCAAATGACCTTTTTTAGATCCTGTCCCCTACAGTGAAGAAGAGGAAGAGGGGGGGGGGAGGGACCCAAACCCCAATTTTTGCTCTTTGAGGAGAGTTTGCAGTGCAAAGAGCAAGAAGAGAGGGAGGTGAAATGCGGTTTTAGAGAGAGAGAGCTTACAAATGTGGGGTGAATTGAAGTTTTAGAGAGAGAGAGCTTAAAATTGAGGCTTTCAATGGTGGGGTGGAGGGCAATGGGGTGGCATAAACGGTTAGAGAGAGAGAAGAGATTGAAGAGATGAACGGTCCGATTTAACGGAAAATTTTGAAAGGTTTCAGTAGGGCGGGGCCCAGCCACGAGTTTTAACGGCCATCCCCCAAAAGAGAGATTAATAGTTTTACTGGAGAGCGGGTCTCTCTCTTCCTCTTTCTCTCTCTAAATTTTTTTTGTTTCATTCTCTCTCTAGAATTGAGGTGAGAGAAACTAAAGCCGTGTGAGACAGACTGGGGTCTCTCTCTCTGCCTCCAATTGTAGTGAGAGAAACATGGGAGCTTTTTATCTCTCTAAATTTATAGAGAGAGAGAAACGTTTTGTAGAGAGAGAGAAACGTAAAGGCGTGGGTTCGTGCTGGCGTCTCACCATGTTCTTTGCTTCCCACATAATATCTAAAGATTCTAACACGCGTCTCTCTCTCTCCTCCCCTTCAATTCTATCTCAACCCCTATCTCTCTCATCTCTAACTCAGCCGACCCGATTGGGCCCAAACAAATTTTTTTAAAAAATCCATTTAAATATATACGTGTGTTATTTCAAGGAAAAAGTTTATATAAAGTTGCAATTTTAAAACGTAGAATTACATATGCATCTCAAAAATATCCATTCTAAAAGGTTGTTTTGATGATCAAAAACTTTCTAATTGATCATTGAGATGTATAAATATGAGAAAAAAAAAGGATTTTGAGTCTCATAAATAGTATATCTTGCAACATATTATCTAGACCGTCCATGTTCAAGATTTTTATAAATTTATAGATCTACTTGATTTTAATCATTTTTGGAATTTAAAATTTTATAATTAGATATGAAAATAGATTTTAGATAATCCTAATAAATTTTTACACCGAAAGTTCATGTTATGATAAAATTTAGAGATATGCCTTATAGAAACTGCGTTCTTATTTAGATATTATAACTAATATAATTATATTTATTCAATATTATTAAAATACTTTGTATTAATTATTATTCAAATAATAATACTATTCAGATTGGGTCCACATGGACCCAAACCTAGACCCGAATAGTGTTTTGCTCCAATATTTGGACTCGGACCCAACCCACCAGGTTCAATTTTTAAACCCATACCCAGACTCAAGTTGGGTCCATGTTCATTGCCACCCCCATGTAGGAATGGCAACGGGCCAGGTTGCCCTAGCCCGGTTTGATCCCTACAAGAATATCATGGCTTAGCCCTACCCTGAACAATCATCCAAGCCTGGCCTTAGACAGGGCCAAATAAAATAAAAAAATTAAAAGGATAAAAATAATGGCCTCGGCTCGGCTTGACTCTACCATCGGGCTGTGGTTCCGTGGCCCGCGAGCCACATTTTGTGGCCTGAGCCTTAATTTTTTTAGGGCTAAGCTGATCGGGCCTCTCCTTCCCTGCAATCTCTTACGCTCGACCATGTTCTGTTCTTTCTCTTCTCCATCTCTTTCTTCTCTACCTCTCAATACGTGTATCGTTCTTCTCTCTTCAAATTCCATTCTATTTTGCCCTTGTACTCTTAAGCCCCCACCTTTGATCCCTGGCTCTTTTTTTTTTTTTTTAAGGAGAAGTTATCAAATTTAAAACCTAAAGCCTTTATAGAGGAATTTATAAGAATGGTCGGGAAAAAAATAGTTGTTTTCTCAGCATAAATTAGCAATAAACAAAATAAAAAATAAAAATAAAAATAAACATAACAATAACATAAAGCTTCATCAAATCATTAGCAATTTCCCTTTTTTAAAGGGTTATGTTAGGGTACTCATCTATTTGAGTATTTCATCAATATGCTCAATATATTTGGACACTCGATGCCCTACCCTTATTATATAGTAATATTTTTGCCTAAGGGTGTTTTAAGTAATTATTTAATAGCAAGGTAGAAATTCATGATAAAAAGAAAAACATTTATTAATTAATAGGCTATACACTTGGTGGTATATACATTTAAGGTCCTCAATGTTTTTGGATACTTAGATACAAATATCCTATACTATAATAATTTTTTGTCTAGAGGTATTTTAAATAATTAGTCAAAGGTAAAGTATAAATTCCTAATAAAAATAAAAATATTTACTAACAATAGTGGACAATGATATCACCGACATGGTGTCTAATATCACCGACATGATACATTAATTGTCTATTAACTACTAATAGAATGTCACTATTTTCTTATATAAATATCCATTTTACCCTTCTGCATGATAAAAATGCCCCTACTTAGAATTTTTGGTATTTATGTGTTAGAAAATGTTTGGACTTTAATGCTATACACTCTTATAGCCTAACAAAACCCTTATTAATTATAGTAGATAATTACATCATCCACATGGGGTGTGACATTACCCACATAGATAATAAAATTTCACTAGTTTCTGATAGAAATATTTATTATATCACTCTTAATGACAAAAAGTACCATTACCAAAAAAAATTGTATTACAAAATAAGTGTATATAAGTGTCCAAAATTTATTGTGTACAATTATAAAACGCTCTATAGTGTGAGTACCCTAACATAACCATTTTCTAAAAGGGGCTAGTTTGTACAAATTAAATATTTTGCAAACAAAATTTTTTATATAAGGCGTCAACCTTATTATATAAAAATGCAATGGAGAAAGTTGTTCTAATACTGTAAAATCTTTCACTTAATCACCTCAACATCGAAATGTATGGCTACAAGAATAAAGACTTAAGTTCTAAAAATAGTGCATCATCTAGACTGTTCATTTTTATGATTTTCAAGTGATTAGAGATCTTCTTAATTTGCATCATTTTTAAGCTTTAATTTTTACAATAAGGGGTAAAAATAGATTTTTCAGGCAATTCTAAAGTTTTTGACATATATTTGAAAGTGTGCCTTACTTTGATTACTTAAAGTTGATGCTTCATATAAGCGGCACCCTTTTTCTCTATTTAGTTTCCTCGAATTTTTCTAAAAAATATTTTCTCGCTTTTGCGTCATTTTGAATCATTACCCAATTCCCACAAGTGTGTAAATTCTTAGTCCTCGCTCCTCATTCCTCCCTTTGCGGAAATGGTCGAGTCTCGAGAATTAGCTTTCAAAAAGTACAAAATCTAAATAAGGGATTATTTACAAAGAGATCATTTATCTTTTATATATAAAAGTCAAAAATATTTTCACTCATTAGATGTTAAATTAGATGGCTTGAGGTGAGTCATGAAGTCCAATATTTTTTTTTGTAGATGTGTGTCTATTCAATGATACCCTTACAAGCACCTATTTTCAAATTTAAGAGACAAAAATGATTGTAACCTACATATATAAAAGATAAATAGTGTCTTTATAGACAATCCATGGTGGTGATTTTGATGCCAAGACTAAAGGATATTAAATACAGGTCTCTCATCGCCATGTGGCTCAGGCAGCCAAAAGCAAAGCACATTGGTGAGGTAGTGTGTTTTCCCCGTAAGAGAAAAAACAATCATTTTAAATTTTCTTGGTTCAATACGTATTTGGCTTTGTCCACTTATTTAGATATTATAATCTCTTTGTATTAAAAGTAAATAAAAATCTACGCATACTTTTCCTAAACTTTATTATTGTTTATGCTGGATAGAGTTTATAAAAAAAAAAATCAGCATGGGGCTTAAGCTTTTTAAAGTCCTCGCTAGAAAAGGTTGTTCCAAAGTTGAAACCTGAACTTGTAGATCTTAACCTTGACAATTATGAATTTGAAACTATGGATTCCAAAGTAAAATTAATGCATTGTGCAACACATTATCTAGATCGTCCATTTGCAAGTGTTTATAAATTCAAGCCAAGAAGTGCATTCTTTGGTGGGGTTTCAAAGTATTGTCTTACTTTTTTTCATTATAAAGAAGCGGTCTTATGCTAACCCGCACTATAGTTTATACTAGTGTCTAGAAACCCGTCCATCTAGATCGAGAATCAATGATCTAAATCGAAAATCGGTCCCAGGCAAACTAGTTCCCGATTAAAACTGAAAATTGGTCCGATTTGAGCCCACTAGCTCGATTTCCTTAAGGAACCGGATGATCCAATCAAAAAACTCGGTGATATGGATTGACTGGTTCCTTATTAATTTTGTCCTTATTATTTTTCTTTAGTTAATTTTTTATTGACTGATTCTCATACGGGAGATGTGAGAATCGGCTAACTTGCCTGTCCAAGCCGGTTTCCCAAACGACCAATTCTCCCTCCCGATTGGATTTTTAAAACTCTTGTAATTGTATAATCTTATATTCGTCATGCACAGCCTTAATAGCCAAATGATCAAAACACAAAAATTACAAACAAAAGCAGAAACTAGCAACAAAATAATACTTAAATGGACCAGCAACATAACTTGAAATCCAGCCCTGGAATTCTACAAATAGTAATTATTTTAATTGCAATGTCAGAGAGAAAATGGAAGGTAAACTTTTAAAATGATAAAGCAAAAGCTCTGAAGAAGCTTTTGAAGGTTTAGGGTTTGTCCAGGGCTTGGTCGTACTGGGTGCGTAAATAGCACGGAGATCTCAAGAAGCTTTCAGATTATCCATGCCAATGCTATCCTGCAAACAAAAAGCCATATAATTTTTTATTTAGCTATTTATTTATTATCTTTACTCATTAAAGGTAATTAACCTTGGGAATTTTTCCTCTTTCTTTTCTTGTGTTTAAAGAAAAAAAAAATGGAATATGAGCACTTTTGAAAGATAATGCATTTATCACCATTGAGGGGCAAAATGAACATAACCAAAAAAGAGTTACTCTATAATGTAGTAACATAAATATCCTCCCCTTCTTGCAAGATAAGGCAGGTAGGTATTGGACTTGTTTTGGATAGTGCTTTTAGAGTAGAGCTCTGACTTGCCGGAGGTCTGATTCCGACTTGCGGGATCCAACTCGGGTGAATACTGAGTTGGACCTGGTTATGTTAAACAAAAATAAAAATTAACAAGCTAGAAACCAGGAGAACTGATTGATACTGGGGTCTTTCATCGCAGAAACACCAACCACTTGATCTAGTCTGATTTGGGTTATTCCCAAGTCAGAAGTGATTTGTGAATCACTAGTTTTGAAGAAAAGGCTCGGGATTTTTGGGACTTTTTTATTTGAACCAAAATTGGAGTCCAATGAAACTTTACCAGGAATTTGTGGTTTTCTTGAAGTAGAGGAGAGAAGGTCTTGCAGAACATGTCGATGTCGGCATTGAGGTCTCCATCACCACCTATGACCTCCATAAACTTCTTCTTGTCGGGTGCTAGTTTCATGGCAACCTGTAAAAAACACGCACACCTTAGCCAAAATAGAGAGAGAGAGTTGTGGACTTGTGGTTTCTCCTTCAACACAGATATCAAAAGACACCAGATAGAATTTACAAGATACACTCAGCCTAGAGGCTAATGGGGTCTTACAGTGAAGCTAGAACTTGCAAGCCAACCATGCCATTTCTTCAAGGTTTTGGTGTATGCATCAGAACAGGCTTGAGACATGGTCCAACCAGGATGCTCCAATAAGTTGCGAAATAGCTCTACCAAGAAGTCCATAGCCCTGGGAAAAGAAGGCATATATGAAATTTAGTTTCTCCCAGCATAATTAAAAAATAAAAATAGGAAAACATCTTGATCAAACCACCATGCAAAATCTTCAGGTGGTCAAACAACCTTACTTTTCTTTTTTTCACTTATATACCTCCTCAAAAAATATTTTAAAAAAACAAATTTGCCCCTGTTATGGATTGGGAATCCTGAAAAAATTGGGGCCTTTTCATTATAACTTGGCTTACGTAAGTGGCCTGAGCTAAATGCTGATAATACCCTGATTGTTAGCAACATAGATACCTTTGGGTTATTCAGGGTTAGAAACATGGAACTCACTTATCTTCATTTCAAACCTTGTTTTGTTTTCCTAACATTGAACTACTAGGGGTATTTAAATCATTTGGCTTGGGCCACTTCAGTGGGCCAATTATAGCAATGATCCTGCTTGTTCAGGGCTCCCAATCCTGAATGAGGGTAATATAAATTTTTAACATTTTTCAATGAGGCAGCTAAGTGAAATTAAACTTAAAAATTAAACGTCCTAATGTTAAATAGGATCATTGACCACTTCATTGATTTTGAAAGGGGGCTTGACCATTTAATATACTCCCCCCCCCCCCCCCCCTTCCTGAGTGGGTATTTTAGTGTTCATCCCGATAAAGATAAAATATGCTCTTGACCCATAAAAATCAATTCTCAATTTGGCATAAGGGACTTGTGGTATGGAACTGTCTAAAACAATGGAAATAGGGTTTCATGTCCAGCTTACCAGATGAGATCTAATACCATCAGTAGTGATAATACTTTTGAAATAACAGTATAAGCAGTTTTAAATGGACACCGACACCGGTGTAGATTTCTGGTATGCATCAAAGCGTTCAGTATGTGAGGCTAAAATTCCAATTATATTATACAAATTCTAGTAATATTACGTTTAAAACACAATGCCATAGTGGTAGCGGTGAAGACCTCTTGTGAACAACCCCGCTTAAGATCTCTCATGTTTGAGCCCCAAAGCCTGAGTTTTTTTATCTCCACTTCATTAAGTAACATCTATAATTTAAAACATGCCAATCTTGTGCAAGAGCTGCTGAGGAGTCATTGCGGTAACACTCTTGCTTCACGCATAAGAGGTCTTGGGTTCAAGACCTGCTTTGGTCAGTTCTTGGGGTGAGGTTTTTGCTAATGAGAAAGCTTTTGTTTAATAATAATAATAAAAAAAAAAGGTAGATAAGGTGACTTGCACTGGCAGGAATTCAACCACTCTTCCCAGTATGGGGACATCAACTCCACCACTTATGCTTGTAAATAGTATAGCTCGACACCTTAATTTAAAGTGTCAAAAGTACTGAACAATTGCTGATTTCATCAGACACGTACGTACAATTGTTGATGGCTTGTCGGTGCATGTCAACACACGATACCAAGGAAAATACTGAGTGTCCAAGTAACACTAAGTTTAAGTAATAACAAAACCAAGTATGCATCCCATAACAATCCTGAATAATTTGGCAATTCACACAAGCCAATGGTCTTGGGGTATGCTGCATGTGTTTGTCTAACAACTGAGCAACCCGTGATTAACTCTTGTTATTGGAGTAAAAAAAAGTGTTCACCTAAGAGAGAGAGAGATAGAAAAATTAATTTTTACCTAATAGATAGAGAAACAATTGAATCCATATTTCCTAGAGATAATAATAGATAGAGAAACATTTGAATCCATATTTCCTAGAGCACAATGCAATAATATTTTCTTTTGCAGTTGATCAACTTGGATTAGGGAAATAATCATTCTGTGCACAGGAGTCATCCAGATCCTCAAATGGGAAAATGTAGCACGAATGATAAAAAATGTAGGCCAACCCATTTGAAGATCCATATCATTTCTACCCAAAAAATGATGGTCCAGATGGACCAAGCTCGTCTAAACTCAAAGAGCCCCAGTCATTTAATCATTCACCGATATCAATGACCACACATTCAAAGATAATATGCCAGCAGTGGTAGGTGCAAACTCATGCACCCAACAACTATGTCTGTGAGAGTACTACAATGACACGCTTCTAGAACCTAAACAGGTCATCTTAATCACATTTTTTCTGATTAGTTGACATCATCTAAATTATTTCACCAGAATATAGGAAATTTCTCAAATCCATGTTAAGTTGCCATAGAATTGAGTTTGGTTTTCATATTTCTACCTTGTCAACCACAGGAGACCATTCGTACAACTAGAAGAAGATTTTGCTGTTTTAGCTTCGACCTCTTCTTTTATCATAGAGTATAGCAAATGGTATTGTGAAGGATTTGAAGAGTATTTGTTCTCCAATCTCTGCAATTTGAAAAAAATAAAGAAGGCAAGTAATGAGTCCTCATTATGCAACATTTTGATACCATCAACTTCAGTCTTCAGTATTATAGATAGGACACTACAATTAGTAAAGCAATGAGCTTTGAAATCATATCAGGAACATCTACAGCCCCCTCAATGGAGAGAGCAAAGTAATTCAGGATAGATAATCATATGCCATACCGAGATGTTGCCTCCCACATCAGATTTCACAAGTGCCATGGCAGCCCCAAATTTTTCTACGTGTCAATAACAGAACCTTTAATCAGTAGCAGGCCAAATAATATATTAATAACAGGCTTCAAAGTAGAGTTAATGTAAGTGGTAATCTTTAACGAAAATTAATATTATCAGCTAGAGATCAGGGTAAATACGTTATGATCTAAACTCCCAATGCACATTAGGCACAAAGAAATATAAAAATCTAGGCAATCCTTAAACAAAATATTTCTTATTCATTTTAGCTGGGGATTTTGAAGAACTAGTTCTCTGAACAATAGTTCCCCACAGAGATTGAAGATATTCAATCAAGAAGTCATAACCATACCATCTCTTAACAAGCATACGAGAAGTTGGGTTTAATTTCCATCATGTACATGAGAAAAGTAGGCATGACCAGCATATCTTTAATAATGTAACACCTTTGATATCACAGGACTATTATGTCCTTCCGTACACTACTGACTGCCAGGGGACAACTTGTCACAAATTTTATATGAAATGGAATCCATTTGTAGAAGTTTTATTTTCTAGGCAAGGAGGAAAGTGAGAGGATTCTGAAAATGATTGAGAAAACAAATTCAGTCCTGCTAACTGCACAAAGATAATTTTCAAATCTTATGAAGGGAACTTGAGTATGTGATGACTTCATCAAATGCCTGAGGATTATCATACCGTAGGGTAAAAAGAAAGTTATAAAAAGGCCTTTAATAACCTAGCATGATAAAAGCACAATCAGAGGTAGAATGGATCCCAAATTTCAAAAGAAAAGCAACACCATAATTTTACTTTAAACGAGCTTTGCTTGTAAAGGAAAACCTGTAAATACCTATAACAGGAAGAATGAGCTTGCAAACATCCAAGAAAGGCTTGGTCAGCATTTCCCCTTCATCTGACTTTACCAGCTTCATTCCCTCCAAAGAAGGCGTAAAAACAGTGCCCTCCATTACTGTAGTCATTGTGGTATCCCTAGAGAAGCAATGATCATGAAGTCGTAAGTAATTCAACCAAATTCTTTTTCTTTGCAACCTCAAAAATCACATTGAAAAAGACTGTAATTTCACACATAGAAGGAGCTGCTTGGATGTTCGTATCTGTGATGTAAAAGCACCATTTTCTGGGCTATCAGATTTATTAAACTTAGAACCTTGAAAATAAACCCTATTGAAGTTGCTGCGACACTCAAGAATTCAAGAACCTCAAACCCCTTCTCTCTTACTCCCACATATAAATTCTGTGAAAGAGCAGATGTCTGATATTTATGTTTGTCTTGAATATATTATTTAACCAGTTTATAATCAATGACACACCTAGTTAATGGTAGCCAGAGATGGCACACACCTGTAATTATAGTAGCGCAAGAGAAATGCTTTAACAGTCAAGTAAGTGACTTTCTAAGCTCTACAGCTCCTTAAACTTCAAAGTGAAGTTCAAACCTATACCTGGGAAAGCAGTAACGAGCAATGGTAAAAAGAAAATTATGAAACTTACAAAGAAATCCTCAATCATCATCTTCTCTTGAGGAAATTTGATGAACTCAACAAGTAAAAGTAAATCAAAACAAAATGTGAGTGCAGGAAAAAAATGTACAGAGCTAACACTTGTGCACTGGTCACAGTCATGTATAAATTTTGTAATAATTTGCAACACTTGTGCTATATTTTAGAACCTCAATAGAAATTCATCACACACAAAAAAAAACATTCACAGAATTATGTTACTCATTCAATTTTATAAAGCAGAAATGGTAAGTGCTCCAACCCAGAGAAACATTAATAAAGAAAGCTTAGCCGATAAACTAAACCTAAGGTCTTTGTCAGAGTGGAAACCGACATAGAGGAACCACATTCTGATAAAAAAAATGACAAGGGCAACTTAGAACACAAGTTGAATGATTTTTCAAAAGGATTGTGCAATTCACCTAGCTAAACTAATTTCCTACCAACCAAAAAAGAGGTTCATGACTGGATTTTGCATCACTAACCATGATAAAAAAGACTAGCCATAATATTTTGTAAGAAAATTCAATTTTCAAAAGAAGAGCAACCATAACACTGTGATTAAAGAAAAAATTCATTTCCTAATGGCCCTGAAATAAAATTGCATCAAAGAGAGAATAAAAGAGATGTACTGCAGACGCCAAAAGGAAACGTTAAGAAAGCGGCCAGTGTAAATATAACACATCATATGACTGTGTTATATCTCCCACTGACTTACCCAAAAAAATGACTGTGTTATAACATTGTCTGATGTACAGAGCTTCCAAGTTCAAGAAATTCCAGAATAACTATCACGAAAGAAAATTGTAACCAGTAAATAGTGAACAATATACAAAAATATAAATTGATGATATGTAAAAGATCATCAAAATACCTCAAATTGAGATCAATTATGCAAATTAGATCAGTTCAGAGAGAAGAAAGCACAAAGCAGAGTCCTGAACAAAGAATAACTTAACGCTAATTCTTCATAATATGCCCAGACAAACATCAATGGGTCAACACGAAAATTCCAACCCTAAACACTCATCATAAATCCAAGGAAAAAAAATTTGCAAAAAGAGGCTAATTTTACCACTGATGACAAGGACACTTATATTTTCAAAATTTCAGATCCTGAAACAACTATATATTTTAAAAAAGAGCGAAATTGGATCAATGTATATTTGAAGCATCAAAGCCAAATCAAAATAATGGAAAAATACATAAAATCAAGAATATGTGATTTCGGGAACCACTGTGACTATGAAAATGTCGATATGGAGATCTGCTAATAAATGCTCTGCTACTATCATAGCTTCCATGTAAAAGATAGATTTTCATCAGTGAAGCTCCAACTAGAATACACGCAAAACCTCATAAGTAGCCAAAACGAAAAAGGTTATATTCTGATGCTTCAATGGATCGTAAGGTATGGCTCAATCTGCGTCAAAGAGGCTCTGATCGTAATACATTTACATTGTAGAATTAGATAAAGGTAAAAGGATCAAAGATGATTCCAAAATCTATTGATTTACCACTAGTTCACAAAAGATCCCGAAAATTCCAATATGGAAGCTCAAACCAGAACAGATACATAATTGTAAACTTTAAAAGCTGAAAAAATGGTAAATTGCGCATAGAATTATGCAAAGGATAATAAAATGCACGATCGCAAAACAAAATCTCATAGAATTATGCAAAGGATAATAAAATGCGCAATCGCATGACAAAATCGAGAGATTATAGAGCTCCGATAAAAAATTATTCAGAGAGAATAAGCAACTAACCCTAGAATTCCAATAGCGAAGCTCAAAACAATAGTAGGCGCACAAAGTATCAAATGTAAAAGACAATAAAACAGAGAGAAATGATGAAGAATCAGATGCAAACGAGTCAAATAGAGGCAAAGTGATTGATGCTTTCCGCAGATTGTTAGCGGATGCAAGAATTCACTTTTTACTTTTTTTTATATAAATATACATTTTATATTTTTTTTCATTTTTTAGCCGTTGTTTTTCGTTTTTTTCGTTTAATTTTTTTAGCTTTTTTTTTTGTGTCTCCGATCGTGAGATCCACTTTCGCGGCATGACTGCCACGTCGGAAAATTCTAGTAGCGCTCGCACGTTTTATATGGTCATGAGGACACCGATCATATGGTAATGAGAACTCTATGATTTTTCACTGTCAGATGAATGTTTGGACGGTGTTGGAAAGTGGGATCAACTTATGTGATGAACCGTACGGACCGTTTATATGGTCATGAGGAAACCGATCATATGGTAATGAGAACTCTTTGATTTTTTACGTCAGATGAATGTTTGGACGGTGTTGGAAGAATTGGGTCCAACGTAAGTAATGAACTGTATGGTTCGTTTTCACTGCATCGCGGTGCAAGTGATTGATTCGACGGTGATCGACAATTGGTCATATGGGTTATGCCATGTTTCTCCATCCAGTTAGAAAACTCGAATCTATATGGCAGTAAGGATGTGTTTGAATTTTAAAATAAGTAGTTTTGGATATCGTATTTTTTAAGGAAGTGGATAAAATAAATGTTTCCATGTTACAGAGTTTCCAAAACTGTATCCTCCAAAATCAAACAAACTATAAAACTTAATGGTTGTTACCGTCATCTGATCAATGGTTGGATGATGATGGACAAAGTCGGCCCCACTGAAGGCAATGGAAGTACTTTTTTTTTTAATGTTCAATCAGCATACTTTGACTACATAACTATTTTTACGCTTATCATTCCTTTTTTTTTTCTTTTTTTCTTTTTTCGAATTCGTAATCATGATGGTCATCTCAATAAACGTGGGAAGTTTTGGATCCTTCATCCATCTCCAAAATTGATTGCAAAAGGATATAGCTAAGCCGAACCTTATTTTTAAGGGATTGTCTACAAAGAGACTATTTATTTTTTATATATGAAGCTCACATTCATTTTGGTCCCCTTAAATTTTAAAACAGGTGATTGTAAGAGTGTCATTGAATAGATATAAAAGTTAAAAATAAAATAAAAAAATATTGGACTTCATGAATCACCCCACAATTTGAAATTTAATGGGTCAGAATGATTGTGACTTCTATTTTACAAAAAAATAAAATAAAATAAAGGGTAATCCCTACTTTTAATGATAACTTATATTTTGTAAGATTTGCTAGATGGGGTACCCCTACCTCTTTGTCTAATGCCAATAAGTCTCAAGCATCACAAACAAGAATATTAGTCACCACAAAAACAATTAAAAAGCTCATAACTCAAATGAAGAACTTTTACAGATAATACTAATATGGAAATTTTGATTGAAACTTTTATCCAAGGGTGTGGTTTGTATAGAGCATAGGCTCTAAACAATCAAATTAGAGCTTACCTTCAAATAGTGTTGAGAAATATGGTTTTAATATCGAAAATCTTTTTGATAGCATTAAACTATATTTTTATCCTTATTTATAAAGTTTAAAGCTTCAAAAATAGTGTAGATCGAGAGATCTATGAAAACTTGAAAATCTTGAAATTCGACGGTCTCAAAGTGCATTACAAAATATACTATTTTCAAAAATTGAAATCCATTTTTTTATCATGTTCATGGATCTTGATATTGAAATGATGAATTTGAGGATATTTGAGCATCAAAACAATATCTTCTAGTGAAATTTTTGAGGTAGGCTCGAATTTGATTGTTTAGAACCTCGGCTCTTCATAAACTTTTCCCTATGAAAATACACTTAGGTTGAACTAATTGACATTTTACCTGAAGTGTAACTTAATAAATTTCAAATCCAATTTCGACTTGTGATTTAATTCGCTCTTTGAAACTTGATCAAGACAATGACGGGCCATCTGAAAATAGTTCAAAAAGTATAGGTAAGATGTTAAAAAGTTCAAATCTTAAGCATGGTTTGACGAATTTATCATCCCAGTAGGCACAGGGGCTCAGAAAAATCAAATGTGGTTTACCCATGAGCTTGCACTGTGTTGGCAATGTAGCCGTGTTTTGTTTTGTTTTGTTATCAAGAGATATATACCCATTTCAGTATGAACCCGAGATATCCACATCCCAACACTCCCCCGCAAACTCAATATGCTTTGACACAAAGTAGCTGGAGTTTAAACAATGCTAAGTTGCCAAAAAAAAAACGAGTAGTGATCAAATCTATGATAAATTTCACAGCCATGGTCTTCCAAGAAATAACAATTTTTGAACTTTCTACTTTCTTCTAGAGACTTTCTCTCTATAGGGTTTTCTTTTCTAAAGATCTTCTCTCTCAAAGGTTCTTTTTCTTTCTAGAGGTTTTCTCTCTGTGAAAAAAATGATCTTTCTTTCTCTTTTCTTCTCCCTCTATAAAAAGAAAATGATATTTCTTGCTCTCTTCTTCTTCTCCCTCTAGAAAAATGATGACTCTCTCATCTTCTTCTCCACTGCAAAAGAAGGCTCCCTGTATTTTTCCCAATACACCAAGAAGAAACAACAGGCTATCAGAACATCCGGGATCGAGTAATAAAAAACTCAATCATCACACAGGATGAAGCAACAAAAAAATCCATCAACAAACATGATCAAGTAACGGAAAACTTGTTCATCAGTCAAGATTGAGAAATTCAATCATCAAACTGAAATTGGACTGGAGTCTTGAAACCAAAAAGTTGCCAAAGAAACTTGCACTGCTCTCACTAGCGTGCTTGAATAGTCTGTAAGAACGAAGAAATGTAATCTGGTACACGTAATTACCAAACTTGCCCTTAAAGTGCTACAAAGGCACAACAAAGACGGCTCTGCGACAAATAAAGTGGCAACGAACACTGAAGATTTGTGAAAACTTCTCATTGAAAAATCCGCTACTCATTAATGTATGTGCTCCCCCTAACGATGTCACTACAATAATAGTGTGACGAAGTCCTCTGCTACATGGCGAGGCGCTAGGAGCAAATAAAGCGTGGGACAACTGAAAAATACATGAATACCGGAACTGATGTTCTTGTCAACATAGCGGGTACATTAGAGCTGTTGACTTCATCTATATTCATCTCATCTCCATAGCGGGTATATTAGAGATGTTGACTTCATCTCTACTCATCTCATTTCCATATAGATGCGAAGAAACACCCAACTTGCAAAATACCTTTTTTTTTTTTTTAAACCAAAAAATCTCAAATCAATCTCCACCACAAACGGAAACGGATAAGCTCATGAGTCATGACATAAAGAATGAATCTCTCTCCTCCCTCTCTCTCTCTACGTCAGAGTATCACACACAGATAAGCATAGGAATCCTCTCTCTTTCTTATCTCTCTCTCTCTCTCTCTCTCTCTCTCTCTCTCTCTCTCTCTCAAGCAAAATCACACCAAACGCTCATCATAACCGAAGAACATGGCAACATAATTGGAAATTGATGCATTGCGGCTTCTATCCAAGAACTCATTATAATGGATGGATGCTTCAGTCCCTTGGATAACACCTTCCAGCAGATATGTGATTGTTGATACAAAATCCTCAAATGTGAACTCTAGGTAACCCAATCCCGGAAGTGTTGCCTTGTATCCCTCAACTTTATTTAGCATGCAAGGAACCTCAGCTTTGTCTTGAGATTCCAAGACATGATATGCAAACAAAAAGAGCACCGAAAGAAACAATTCCCAACTACTCGTGTATGCCTGATTGCAACATACTTCTCCTCAAGAATCTTGATTGTCTCCTTCAATATGGGCTTCCAGATTCATTTTCAGGATTGATCTTCTCCTCGTGTGCGCCTGATGGCATCGTCTCTGATATTGGACCAGTCCTCCAAAACATTTGTGCAAACGGCATCAAAATGCATGATTGCTGCTCTCTCCGAGCTCTCTTCCGTAGTGATTGCTTTCTCAGATCTCTCTTCCATAGTGGTTGCTTTTTCAAGGGCCGCTTGAGACATCATAGCCTTCTCGAATTCATGGACTCTACGACAGTATCTATGGGGTGAAGTCGACTCAGAGGCAGAGGCAAGAGGGTGCTGGCTCCAAGATACGACCGGAATCAGATTAGGTTGCCGGAAAATTTTGCCGGAATGGGAGAGACTTTAGAAAGAGAAAATCTGGAAAAATTTTAGTTATGAAACCAAGTTAGAATTTATGGGAGTATACATGCACAAACATTGAATGGAGAATGAAGAGAAAACACAACATTTACGTGGTTCAGGCCGAAGCCTTATGTCCACGGATCCAAAGCCCAACAAGCTACATCTTCACTATTTTGAATGAATGTTTACATCAATAAGTATATATATATATATAACAATCGCACAATTAGAGGAGATAATTATGGTATGATAACTTGATGACCAAGTAACTTTAACTTGGTCTGTTCTTATTTTCTAGATACATAATCTTATCAAGAGATATAATACCCATATCAATATGAACCTGAGATATCCATGTCCCACTAGGGTTTTTACTTGAGTAAGCAGGTACTCGTTGGAAAATATACTCTTTTGGTAATATTTTAATTCCTTTTGCAAGAGCCTTAATTTATAGAGTTACAAAGATGTGTACTACTAAATAAAGCAACGTATACAATGAACCACCTTCCTATTATGGGTATACATAAAAGGCAGTTAAATATTGTTCCAAAAAATAATTGCAGGTTTGCATTTTGAGTTTGAACAATTGAAGGCAGGCCTTAAAATGTTTTGAGTTTGAACAATTGAAAGCAGGCCTTAGAAAGAAATCATGAACAAAAGAAGCTTGAGCAGCTACAAATTAGCGATCCTCAGAAACCGACACTTCGAATAGAGCAGTAGAGCAGGAGTCTCATATAACAGCAAATCAATTAGCCTCTGAAACATACATGATTAAGTAACGAAAAAAAAAAAAACTTGATCATCAAACAGGATGGAGTAATAGAAAACCCCATCATCCAATGTGATCAAGTAATGAAAAACTTGATCATCAACCAAGATAAAAAAATTCGATCGGAAGGCACTTGGA